CCATAAGAACTACTGAAATACTTCCAATAGAAATTGAATTTATAAATTCGTTAAAGTAGGTTAGTCATCCTTGACGCATTAATTTTTTCGCATACTTTCCAATTGACTTCTAAAAATAAAAGTTTTGAAACATAATATAATTATATCAGATGATAGAACAAAGTTATTTGTGTACACACCATATAAGAAAATTACTATACAAATTTTGATTTCCATCAAACATATAAAATAGTTGCACGATACACGGAGTATCACCAGCAATATTTTACGCAAAGTAATTTCTTTTATACACAAAATATTTTAGAGTATTTGCACTTTTAATGTATAAAATATTTTATTTTACTCAACGAAAATACGCTATTTCGACAAAATTAATACTGCTATGGTTATAGGTTATTAGATAGGAAAGAATTATATTATATATAAAAATCTTTCTTCAATTAGAAATAATTGTGAATTAATGAAGTGAGATACTATAATTGTATTGAGAGCATCAAACATCGTTATCGATGAGTCACTGGTGGTATTTACCTCGTGTCTGGCGGAACTATTTTATTTTTTCGGTGGTAAACAAAATCTGTGTTACAGTTTTCTCTGTGGTTTCCATGCTGCAGTTTGATTTTATAATAGAATTTTAATGAAAACAAAATACTGGATAACAAATCTAAACTAACTGACGCGTGGGAAATATCTCTCGCTATAAAATTTGTTTACAATGTCATAAAAATGTGTCATTCTTTTGGAAAGTTTGTAGAATAATTTTCAGAAGAAAAACGATTACATATATTTCATAGTTAGCATAGAAAAAATAATAAAAGTCAAATGTTTTATTTTTTGTGGATTTAAACTTCTTAACAAAAAATACATTGTTCTTTTTCTGAAATTTTATAGACGTGAAAAAACAATGTATTTTTTGTTTAATCTTGTTTTCGCTATCTCTTACTGCTTTCAAAATAATTCACGGGAAAGAAAAATTTGTATTTTCTTCAAGGGGTGGTTTCACCCCTCCGAAGTGAAATTCGGCACGAAACAAAATTGCAATGTATTAAACTTGATTTACTCTACTTAAATATAGAGTTTCATAATTTTGTGAATTTTCGGATTCGATAGCTTTCCCCGAAAGTAACATTCTATGCAACTCTTTTAAACGTTTCCTTTCAGCTTATGATTATTTGTTAACACTAGAAGTACCAGACCCGTCAAAATGACAGGTTTCAGTGTTTTTTATTTCACAATTCCTGATACCTTAAAAGTGATAAATATCTGAAATGATTTAAAAAAATTAGTAGTTTCACTTGACTACTATCATAAATATATAAAGGAACCAAAAGAAACTATATTGCTACAATTTTTATACGGATCATATATTACTCGTATTAAATGCTCAGTAGTTTAGTGTTAAATATTGTAGTATCGTTTGACATCAAAATATTTATATTAGACTTTATTGTAAAATATAAGAGCAAGATTTCATGAATCTACTACGAGCACGTAAATTTTTAATACTTTCGCACATATTATTATGATTTTATGCTGAACGTTATCTACTTAATTCTACATGAAAAATAAAAATTAAATATAAAACGAAAAAAAAATTAAATGGAAAGCCCTATTGTAATTTGTTTTTTTTGTGTGTAATAAAACTAATCACTATATACCTGAACAAAAATATAAATGAAAAATATTGAATAAGAAATTACAATCGAATGTTCGCTTTAAATAAATCGATGTTAACGAATCATTAAGTACGTTTGCATTTCATCATCGCGTAGCTAGAATATCTGTATATAGTATTTGTTCATTACCGATCATTTCTTTTTATATCAGAGCATATAAATATAACAGTGATATTTATATACACATGTTCTTTTATATTACACCTCACTCAGATTATAATTCAACATAAATCGATAGTCAATAAATTATAAGGTCAACAATAAATAAAGGGTGGCGGTAGTACTCGGAAAAAGTGAACAGTAAATGAAGTTTAAAAGATAAATTGTACTTGAAGATTTCTTGTGAAAACAAAAACTTGAATCACAAAACGCTGAGTATATTGTAGTGTAAGGAGATTCCTTTTCTAAACGGAGAATATTATGCCACCGTATTGGCGATGCATAAAAGAATAATTACGTAACAATTTTTACGATTTCGCTATCTCTAAGATATTCGTATTATTCGACTTCTGAATTATCTTCTGTTCTATTTTTGTACTCAACTTTGCATGATTCCGTTTTAGTGGTACATCCATAAACGAATGGAAACTTTATGCTCAATTAACCTTACCAAAATTAAGATTTGGCGAAATGTATGTCTGTGAACGTAAGATTCAAAGTGATAGGCGACTATTTTGAAGAATTCGATTATATTTGTCTGATAAGAGTGAACTATAAAGACAACAGGAATTATTATAAACAATTAATCAAATGATTTTTTAATGATTTGTAGCAATTATGATAGATAACTTATTTTTATTCGATTTCAAACATATTTTACATTATATACATTAATGACTTGCTAGCGGCAGTGTTCTAAGAAATATAAAATAATGACGCATAAAAACCATATTTAAAATATTAACATGAAATTACGTAACGATTGTCTATGTAGACGAAAATTTCATTCCATCCGGAACAAGCGCTAAAATTTCGCAACGAGAACGGATTTCCTCCAATTTATCATCGATGAACTAGAACTTTCATAAGTAAGTTCTCGAAGTTATATTTGATGTGTCATCTGTTACTGCAAGAAGTTTGTCACGTACTGGGTGGGCCAGGTAAAAGGGACCGCGTAAGTGTCAACAGCATTTATAGATACACGGGAAAACAATTTACTGTGTTCGAAACCGTTTCTCTTCGTTATTTGATTCCAATTCTATCAGTACAGTTTGTATATACGGCTGCAAAAAGTTTGTTTCCTGCTTTCAAATTATTAACCACTTGCGATGACGACGAATTCAGAAACTTGACATGATCTCACACTAAGTATTTTGTTTTCACCTATTTTATACGGATATATACACTAATTTTTCTTATTAATAATTCTGTGCAAACGGTAGAATTCAAAAGAATCTAAAATATGTAATCCTATAAGATTATCGAGGTGCATAATATGTCGTTAGCAATTTTGGAATAGAAACAACACGACGTGTGTAGCACGTCTTTTCAGCGCAAGAGGTTAATGCCGAGAGAAATACGAAAAACTAAAGGCAAACAATAAATATTTGTAAATTTCATGTAACAGCGAAGGATTGTCACGCCGTGGAAATGAAACGCGCGCGATTACTTCACTTGTCGTTATGTGTAATAAGTAATAAAACGTGTAATAGATCTATCACACGTTGCGACCGAGGACGAGGAGCAGTTTGCACACATCAAAATATGTATCGCGTGTTAAATATTTGTGAATTATCGCTTCATTCTCTCGAGCAAGTAAGAGATAGCTCGAATATATGGCCAGACGACGCTGATAAAAACTCATTAAATCCAATATCAAAGAATCGATGACATCATTATCCCAGTACACTCAACAGTCATTTTCGTAATCTCGAAGACGCAACAAATTCGTTTATCGAGGCTTGCGTTCGGAACTCTTGATAGTTACGCGTTACAATACGGGCGCCGGCGTTTCTTTTTTCTCTTACTCCCTTTCAACTTGTTTATCGTTAACGTATTTCGACTTGTATATTTTTGGACACGGCGGTAATTTCAATGTGACTGAATTGATCTGGGTATTCTTGTGTTAAATTCTTAACATTAGAAGTATCTTTCTTTGTATTCACCATTTATTTATACCTGTCTGTGTATCACTAGATATTGATCGTTTTAGTTTGTATCGTTAATCACTTGCGGTAGCATCTAATGATCCATACTTACGTAAATTACAGTTTCTTTCAATTTTAAGAAAGAAGAGATATTAATTATTGAAAAGGTATTTCGTTTAAAAGATGAAACTAAAGCTTTTAATTAAAAACTTTATCTACTACTGATTATGATTGATTTCATTTTTCCAAATAAAACTTACTGCTAATAAATACAAGAATGTTAAGTTCTGTAGCATATTTCTGTGCTTGCTCCTTTTTTACTACTTTATACATATAATAAATGATTTATCGTAATACGTGTTTGATATCAGTTGCACTAGCATTGCTTCTTTAAAAAGTGTTTACCAGTAATTTCTGAAAATTTTAAACGAATCAAAATGTTTTTTCTTTCTTGCTTATTATGGGTTGCGAAGAACAGAAAGAAATACATCAAATTCTCTCCTTCCGCTGTTTTTAAATGAGTAGATACCATATTGAAATAGATCAATAGGTAAAAGAAAAAGTCTAATGGCAAAGCTTACAAAATAAATAAATACTCTTAATAATTCAAATTCGCAGATCGTAACGGTATTCCCATTAAATTATCAAAAAAATATCGTCACATAAAGTGGCATATTTATTGTTAAAATAAATTCCAAAATTTTTCGAAGATTCCTTCAATGAAAAACCTCAATCACCCTTCCTCGGTGTTCTAAGAGCCCAGGAAACGTATTATTCAGTAACCGCATACTAACGCGTATCGGTCACGTCTGAAGCATTTGCATAGACTTTTGCAACGGTACGCAGCAACTATACGATTGTTAACATCCGACGCGCGCAATTATATGCAGCATCGCAGGACGCGAGGTACATATTCGGCGTAAGAAGACCGTTTCCTCGCGGCTCTATCTATCACCGCGACAAACGATGCCGCCGCGGAGATACATAAAAACCGACGAGTAAGCGAAACGAGTAAACCCGAGGAACTTTCACCCGTCTGAAAGCGTTTTCATCGCGTCCAGACGGGAAACAATAACCCAACGCGAGAAAAGAAGACGAAAGACAAGCTGAAAAAAAAGGAGGAACCGAAACAGAACCCGAAGCGGACGGACTAAAAGGGCACAAAAAGAGAAAGGTGTAAAAGGGTGTAAGAAAAGGCAAAGAGGAACAATTGAATCAATGAAAATCAGCAACTCACATTGATCGAATATCTTAAGCATCGCTTTCTTCAGCTGCATAATCGTGCGCTGACCGTGGCGATACGCCTCGACGAAGTGGAGCAATCACGTTCATAACCAACGTGGTCGTGTAAGAACCGAGCGGTGCTCGTCTCGCGTACAACTCGCCGTTTCGAGAGTAGTTCATCCTTCGAAACGAGACGAAAACCGCCGCGCGCGGTGTCCTTCAAGGACTGACCGTGCGTCCCGCAGGACATTCGGTCGGCTGGCAGGCCACGACTCTCTGCCACAACCGCATCCTTGTTCCTCGACGTGTTTCCTCTTCCCTTCTCCACTCCGCACTGCTATCTCTCTCACTCTCTCTTTCTCTCTCTACGTCCCTCGCTATTCTCTCTTCTCGCTTCGGTCCGTGACACAACTCGGCGCGACTCGCGCTAGCTGGTGCGCCTGGGTCGGTGCGCGACGCGCCAACACGCGCTCTCCGTTGGAAAAGTCGAGACGCGCGCGACGCCGAGTTTCGAGGAAGCAGCCGACCCGTCACTTCCGCCGCACTGGAATTCGTACGATGAATGAACTCGTTCGTGTAATCGCTCCCACGTAGCCGGCCGATCTCTCTCGGAACAAATTCTCCTCCCGATAACACCCACGTGGTCGCCACTGGACGACCGACTGCTCGCTCCTCGCTCTCCGAAACCGGCTGCCGATTCCTGCCCGGTATTTCTCAGCGACCTGACGATCGCGATGAAAACTGAAACGTCTGATCGGTCGCGCGGCTGACACGAGCGACTCCGATCGCCTGATCGTTAGTCGTAGAGAATGTTCAACGACCGATCGAACCGTCTTGTCAGAGACGTGGCACTAATTGTCAACGCACCGAGGAGAAGGAACGAGCGACCGGTTCCCGGTCGCAGCGTTAAACGGATTATTCAGCGATACCGACACTCGTGGACCGAGAGAGTCCGTCGAATAATCGTACGGCAGCCCCGTTAATCGTAAAATCGTTTCGGCGAAGAACGCCGCGCGGTCTTTTTTCTCCCGGGCATACCTTTGGCGACCGTTCCGCGAACAACTTAAACGGTTGCGCGACGGTCGCGGATAATTGCCGAACCGGAATTAACGCGGACCCGTTCGATCAACAGCTGACTTCGAAACGTATCCAGGACAATCGGCACGGCGGTTGTTCGTCTCGCGCCACTTGTTCCCGGCCTAGCTTTTATCTGACGTTCGAATTATTCTTCGGCTGACAAAGAATACTGACGAGGAGCAGCTTTGATTTACGAGCGCACTCCCGCCTCCCCGTGACGCTACCCGTTCCTTATTCTTTCGCTCGTGCCGCGCGAAAGAAAAAGCGCGGGTGATACGTCTCGTATCTTCGACGACACGACTCGCTCTCCTCTCTCCGTTCCTCTTTCACCGTCTGATCGGTTACGATGTTCTCGTCGCCTGGGAGAACGCGGTGTTCCACGCGACCGACGAATTTCTCTGCTCGGTGCTCATCCAACGGCGTTGTTCTCGGAGCTCGCGCGCTGCTCCTCGATCCCACCGGGGTTCCCCGTGTTACGCGGACGATCGTCCGCACCGTCGGATCCCGGCCGTCCGTTCGATCGATGTCACAGATATCCGGCGCGCGCTCGATCGCGAACGATCTCGCCAGGCTCGACGCGCGTTTGTTTACTTTCTCGCTTCTGCGTGTCACCGGGCGAACTCGATTCCAACTCGCGAACGAGAGTTGCCACCGGATCGCGCACCATACGACGCGAATGTGGATCTCGCCGAGGGTATCTGTCGCGTATCTATTCACCGCGAAATCACCGAACTGTCCCCAAACTGTTCCCGAACCGATACGTTCGAACGCATCCACTATTCACAGTTGACGAAGCTCGCCACGCTTTCGCCGATCCGTCGCGGGAGTTTTTTTCCTTTTTCGAAAGGTGAACTCGCGAACGCAGGGATCGACGGATCGACGGGCGAAACGAAAGATCGTCGCGACGGAGGACACACTCTTTCTCTCACTGATTGCGCATGAACAACGCGCGTGCCGCGCAATTCGTGCACGTAACGTTCCCCGCGCGAGTTTAACCGCGACTGCCGTGTCGGAATCGAGTCGAGTTACTCTCTCGCGAAGCTCGAGCCGAACGAGCTAGAGGGGAGCGCGAGAGCGAGAGCGACGGAGAAAGAGGCGGAGAGACAGAGAGGGATAGGGGGAGGAAGACAATAGACAGAGACCACCACGCTTCGACTGAAAGAGAACGATAGAGAGGGAGGATGATGCTGGAGGGACGGACGGAGAGAGACGGCTAGAGGGGGCAGGCGAGGATTTCACAGCCAGCCACCAGAAGGAGGAAAGAAAGATTTCAGAATTCGAGTGCTGAAAAAGGAGAAAGTATCGAGAATCGGCGGAAGAAAGGAGCAGGCGGGAGATTTAGCGACAGGGACAACGAGCGGTACGAAAAACTTGCAAAATTTTTAACATATTCCGCCGTGGCATTGCGAGCCTGTGTTATTATGGTGTCACTGCGAACATTCGGGCATATTTTTTTTCTCTGACAGTTTGACATTCGTGCCAATCACAAATGAGTAACGGAACCTTTGTCCCAGTTTAAACAGCAGTTTCCATGTTGACGCGTAGAGCGAATCGGATTTGAGGATCTACGACGTAAGGAGATCGAAACGCGATAAATCTCGGGTTTTCGAATTTGACAAGCAGAGTCCCTTCGATTTCGCGGCTGTCCGTTCGTTCACGATGATTTAACAGTTTGACTGTCAAGTGAACACCCATGGAAACTTCTATGCAGTCGAAACAGGTTTCTTAATAAAGCGGGAACTAAGAAATCAAGTTTCTTCGTAACGATTACTCTGCTGTCTTTCTTACGTCTCATAGATCCAATCAAATTCGGTTCGATCGATGTATCACTGAGAAAATGAATATTTACGTTTATGTAAAATATGGTGCCACCGAAATTCGGGTAACGTGGCAGTCAAAGTGTTAAAGTGTTACAGCGTTCCGCGGTGGCTGATATAACGGTTCTTTTCCGATGATATTTAAAAATTACATATAAGATGGCGTAACGCGACAGCTAACGAGGAAGAACATATCACTGAATAAATAAGAGTAATCTTTAAACAAAGAGTTCCGCGAACGCGCGGAAACTCGCGGAAACTCGCGGAAACTCGCGGAATTACTTAGCTCGATCTTTCCACTTATTCGTCGACATTCGCGCGAATCACGGGGATGCACGCGAACAGAGAATTAAAGAAACCATTATCTATGCGGATTCTCACTTTTATCCGCGCGCGATCGCCGGCCGCAACTGGATCCAATGTCGATCGTCCGTGCCATCACGAGTGCGTTTTAGGAACGCTGCCGACGGACTACGCGTGACGTCTTTATCGCTCCCGGTTTCCTTCTTTCGCTAACTCTCGTGAAAGGCTTGCAAGTGTAACAATATCGGTAAGCATATCGATTACACTGTGCAGCCGAGTAAAAGGAATGAAATTAATGAAGCTGAAATTCTTAATTCATGGGGATTTTAGTCTATACGGTTTTCTGAAGTCGAATCTCTTTTTGCATTGCTCGAATCTTTTATACGTCTACGATATGTGCTTAACGACGTTCATGGAAATTAGATAAATTATCAAAGTTATAGGCGTGTGCAGGGTATAGAAGTAGTATCTACAGAGTGTTCCATTTTAATCTACAAATGTAATTATCTCCGGAAGTATTCGGTACTTAAGAAATGTTTCAGATGCAATTGTTTCTGTTTTGTTGGACTTTTGATATAGCTAAGTCAACACCTCTTTTGTAGACAACGATTTGCTGCGTCGATTGTTGCAAAAAATTACATGATTATACTTGAAAAAATACTAGCAACCATAATATTTTTCTCACTCGTACATAAATACTGTCCTGTCAAAAGAGAAAAAAATTACAAGACATTTGTTAAATAACAAATGGTTTAGAAACTAATTACATTTATAGAATGGAAAGGGACTGCCTGTATACGCGATCAAAACAGAGGTATATTTTGAGTTTTTAAATTCAAGTTATGTTGCGGGACGTATAGAAAGTTGACAAAAAACCAGTTTCGAAATACTTCGAAGCCATATCAATAAAGTAATAATAAAACAATACCTACTGGAAACTTCAACGCATAACTGTTTGACTTCCTCCGAAAATTTTTTGTTGATAATAGAACTAAAGCGACAAAAACTTCAGCACATTTGGATGTTTATACATACAAAGATAGTTATGTGTTGTTATTACTTGTATGTTACAAGCAATTGTAAACTCATAAACAAAATGTTTTTGGAAAGATCGAACTATAAGTGTACAGCTGCAACTAAACATCGAGCGTCGATACTACTGAAGAGATTAATAAATGTTTCCGGAATAATATTGGCTTGAGGAATAAGTCAAAGCCGTTTAGTTTAAATTTGAAAATTATTGTCAAAAAATGAATGTTTTGGCAAAAATTATATGTTATTTGAAAGGAAAATTTTCTCTCTACGCGTTAGTGTTTTTAAATTTTATGGTCTGTTTAATTTTTGTTTTATTTTATGTCATTAAAATGGAATGTCAATTTGAAAAAAGTAAATATTTTCGACATTTGTTGTGGCACACTACATATGCGTCAAAAATGCTCATTTTTTAAAAATTTGACATTCCATTCAATGATCTAAATCAAAACAAAAATTAAATCAACCATAAAATCCAAGAACATTGGCGTGTAGAGAAAAAATTTCACTTTCGAATGACATACAATATTTGTTCAAACATTTTTTTTGTGGCAATTTTCAATTGTAAAATAAACGGCAATGATTTATTTCTCAACTCAATAGATTAATGATAAGTCAACAAAATTTTAACGAATAAAAATTATTATTAGTTATCAGTCGATTTGATGCCAACTGTTTTTATTTTAATAATCATACTTCGTTCTAGAGAAAAAACATTAAATTTTTAAATCTTTAATTGATTTTTAATTTCAACTGTTTTTTGCACCAATAAAATGCGGTCTTATATAATATTTAAAAGACAGTCCTGTAAGCAATTTTAGTTCAGCCCTTTTATAGCTCATTTCCTGTAGATTATGCTTTAAAACACCCTAAAAAGAAAGTAAAAGCTTGCACTAAATTACCGCAATTTTCTTGCTTTGAATTCATAAAGTTGATTTACTTTTAACGGTTGTAGACAGGAATCTTTTTCGCGTGACCCCGTGCAACGCCAACGTCCACGGAAACGAAAGAGCAATGGAAATCTGGGGGATTTAGAATTTCAAGGTAAACGTACAATGTTTACGCAAATAATTGACGCTGCAGCTCTGCGTTCGATCTGGAATTCATTCGAACGGTTCGTTACTGGGTAAAGTTGTTGCATAAGAAATTTAGTAATTATGTATGAGGTCGAGATTCCGGTATCCTGTCGCGTAGAAAGCTGAAAATCCGGCTACCGGCGAAATGGCGAAACGGATTGACGTTTCAGCAGCGGGAGATGTATGTATGATGATTTCGAAGCCGTGAAGTCAGATAAAAATTGTTATCTGTGCTGTTAGCCGTCGGGTATGTGCTTACATCGGCTTTCGTGTGATAACCACGCTCTTGTTAGTCTATTTACATAAGTATACGAATGCCTGGTAAGAGGCGAAGAGGTAGAACAGCGAGAAGTACACGTAGATTACATTTGTTCTTTTTCTACGAAGATACATTGCGAGCATTGAGCTCGTATTCCATTTGAGCACAGTGGAGCCCCGGACTTACATTCTAATTGGTTCTGGAGTGGGCGACGTAAGTCGAAAAGGACGTAAGTCGGTGTATACACAGGATAGATGTATGCATGTATTTATCAGATTAGAAGATACATTTTCTTTAAACCCATTTGCATTATTAGCGCATGTATACGCTCAATTTTTCTGGTCACTATCACCGGAGCATATATATATATATATAAAGTGGAGGGTGTTATCGGAAATGAAAGTAGTAATTCTGATTAGTAGTAGTTCGTTTCATTTGTTGTAATTTTTCTACTTAAATAAAAGTAATCCCTTGCCCTATGATTCATTTTTCAACTGTGATTGATACAACAATTTTGTCAGTAATAATTGAATGAAAAACGAAAAAAATTCTATGTGCTTTCTATGTCTATTTTTGCCATAAAATATAGTAATTAATAACAAAAGAATAATAGTTAATTTAAATTCAAAGAAATTGAGTAATATTTATATGTTTTAAATTCTGTTTAAACTTCACCACGTTCACCACGGGTCTAACACGTTATTATAAGGCAAGGGGTTAAGAAAATAATTGATGATAAGGGCCTTCTTTTTTATACTTCTTTATGATGTAAATGGGTTAAATGTATAAAAATGATAGAAGAAATTACATTTAACGAACATTTACGAAGAACTGGAACGTACTAGATAGCCTTCTGCTATTGCCATTAAAATATGTTCTTTATCTTTAAGAAATGTTGTTGCTCGCAGTTGTTTTCAGCAAATTTATTTTTTAATTAATCTCAACACCTTGAATTCCATTAGTATTTCCTTTTATAACAATATAATTTAAGGATGACGACTGACGCTCTGATGCCATTACACATATGTGAATAATGGTCTTAATTCTCGATTAATTGCGTTTGTGTACCTTATATTTACTGTGAATATATTTCTAGAAGTCCTTAAACTGTGCGTGAACTATATTATCTGAAATTATTTACCGATAAAAACTTTATAAAATTAATCTATTCCACGACGAATTCTTTACTCAAGTAAGTTTCACGCTGAACTAGTTGAAACCACATAAACACGTAGACAGTCGGGACCTCTCAGTATTTGACAGATTTTGAACGCTTTTGAAATCGGATAAATTTTTCTTCTATTGATTATTGATCTTGCCTTGATTATTGATTGCTGGATTCTCTCACACTTAGAGTATTATAGCATTTTACACTCTCTGATAAAAAGATCACATCATTTTTTAACTCTTAAGATTAATTAATTAACTCTAAATAAATAATTATTAATAATTTGTGTTTCCCCCGATGCTTTTGTTATAGGATTTGTCCTTTCTGGCATAGTTTTGCCAATTTCATCAATTTTTGCTTTTAAATCTGCTATTATAGTG